ATTCGCTCTGTTAAACGAAAAAGTAAATCAAGATAGAATAAATAAGCAACGCGCAGCAATTTTGGTTACCACAGAATACATAAATAACATGTAGTCATTTTCATTATTCACTATTTTTTAAATTTTCTTCAACGCTATTGTGTTTTCATAGCGGATTCAATATTTTTCAGAAAGAATTTCATTGGATAAGAATCAAATCTCGAACTTTAAGAGCTGATCAGCGTCTTGGCTGGAAAACCCTGATCTCAGAATCAGCTCTGAAGTATACATTTGAAAGTTGACTAGTCAGACGTCTAAAACTGCTTTAACAGAAAGAGAAGAATTACGCATGCGTACACATTTGTATCAACGTGACCGTTCCTCTTTTTTTTCTTTCTTCTCTACAAAGAATACATCTATTATTTTTCTCAAAATAAAACTTACATTAGACAAATACAACCTTCGAAACAAAACAACGTTCTACTTTCTAAACGGTTAGTGTGTTCTTTTGATCATCAGCTTTTTAAGTATTTGTAATATCTACTTCTTCTAGAGTAAAAAATGTCATCATTAATTCCTGTACATCGTTTTTCTCGCCATGATCCATTTCATGATGTTGTCGATTTTTTTCATACAAACCTTGACTGGTATGATCCATTTGATGATTTTGATCAACAACTAACAGTATTTCCAACAAATCGTTTACGATGGTTGAATGAACCACCAAGACAGCGACCATCATATAATCGTGGACAATCAGTGGAAAAATTTCGTGTGCAATTGGATGTTACGAATTTTGATCATAATTCAATTCATACAAAAATAGACGGACAAAAGTTAATTGTTACTGGAAAGCAGGAGGAAAAATCGGGTATGAAATTATTAGAAGATTAAAACGCCTAATTTTACAAACAGCATTATACAGGCAAATGAAGCACGCGCTTAGTGGCACGTGTTGAAGCACGTGCTTAGTGATACATGGAGAAGTACTCTAAGCATTGTTCCCTTTTAGCTTCAAATAGTTCCTTCGATTAGGAGCTAAAAAACAATTCAAAATTTCCACAGCTTCACTTGAGAAAAATACGCAGGAGATACAAAAATGATTACTGGGGAGAAGAAAACTTCACCTTTTAACGACATTTACGAGTTGTCCAAAATAATATAAAGTTCTTTCAAAAGGAATAAAGATTTTTGCGTAAGTAAAATGTATCTGACGCTGCGTCAAGTTAAAAACAATGAGTGCAAAGCGATATATAGATGAACTTGATTGAATACTATAGGCTTCGAATCGTTCCCAATCAATCAAATATCATCCATAACATACATTTTGCTTATCGGAGTAGGTCATTTTGTGGAGTTGATATTTGAAGCGAGAAGGAAGCAACGAACTCTAAGCACAGAAATAAATGAGATTAAAACGAATGGTGTTTGAGATTCTCTAAGAAAAGGATTAAATTGATCTTCATTGATGACTTTTGAGCGCTCAGCTGAAGAAATCTAAATTTCTTTCAACATCTTTGAAATACATCACGTTGCTTAAAAGGATTTCAAATCAGAAACCGCATCCTATTCCTAGGTAGTATAAACCTACTCAATGTAAATAGCCTTGTTAGAAGATTTGAAAGAAAGAGTAAATCCGGACCTTCTAATCTTTTGATTTTGCGAGTTTTTTTTGAAGATGTGGCAAATAAGTTAGGTCAGAGATCAATGTGCTGTGAGCGCTAAGAAATTTTACATGATATATATTGTGGAAATTGACATGTGTGTAAAAGTCGTGTACCGATGTGTCTTACTATATTTGAGGATGATGAGTTCGCAACGACTTCAAAAGAATGCCTAATTTCTATCTTCTGCGGATCCGTAACGGACCTAAAATGCGTGTATATTTCCCAACTCTGTTCAAATATGAATCTACAATCACTATAGACTGTACATTCAACAAAAAACCCCAAGAACTACAATAGAAAAATGAGCAGCAGATTGTAACTGAATGCTTCCGAGTTAGAATCCTGTGAATGAAATTAACTTGCTGTTTACAGCATCTCTACTGGAAAAATAGAATTTATCATTTATCACAAACTATACTGGACTGACCTTTTTAGAATTAGATGGCTGTGTATGAAACTTTGCATGAAAAGTCATTGAACTTTTAGACAAATGAAACATGATGTGCTAAGAATTCTTCGATGCATCGTGAAAAGTATCGGTAACCAAAACGATTTCTTTTTCCTAATACTAACGAGGGGATCCCGCGAACTGTCACACCGCTTTTTCGACCAAACCTAGTGGGTTATATGTTATCAGCTATGATGAATCCGAACATCATAGTGGTAGCTGCTCTGAGGCCTTCAGCGAGCGGTTTTTCTGGAAAACCAGTTTTTCAGAAATTCTAAAAAGTAACCAAAACCTTTCTTAATGATGCATGATTACAGCCCGCAAATTTCGGATTAAAATGAGATATCTCCCAGCTCTACACGACCTTTCTGCGCAAAGTTAAAGAAGTTACAAGAAAAGCCCTAAACTAATTTCTTCTTATTTTTGTAGCTTTGAGCTGAGAATGAACATTTAGAGGTTTTCTTGTAACTTCTATAACTTTGCAAAGAAAGGCCGTATAGAGCTGGGAGATGTCTCACTTTAATCCGAGATTTGCGGGGTACAATCATGCCTCATTAAGAAAGATTTTAGTTACTTTTTAGAGTTTAGGAAAAACTGGTTCGAGAAAAACCGCTCGCCGAAGACCTCAGAGCAGCTACTACTATGATATTCGGATTCAGCATTGTTGATAATCTATAACCACTATGTTTGGCTGAAAAAGCTATAGGACAGTTCGCGAGGTCCCCTCGTAAGAGCAGAGTCTATCTGAGGTTGAGAATAAGCTATTTAAGGTTTTAATTTACGGTTTTTCATTCTGAAAACAACTGAACACAAATCCAAAGAGTTTACTACTAGAAGGTACTAAATGAAAACCTTATGGGTTTTCGAATTTTATTTTGAGACTCGTTCAATTTATGACCGTATTGATATTTTTTAGAAAGTAATAATTCGAAAAGTTTGTTGAACATAGGGTTTAGAACGTTTTGATTGTTTTGAATTCGTGTCGTTTTTGTAAATATCAGTTAAAGTATGTTCTCTATCTCTTTTTGTTTATTCTAAAAGGTGATGATTATGTTAAAAATGAATTTCGTAAAGCTTATGATTTACCCGAACATGTCGATACAAAAGATTTAGTGTCCTATATAACACCCAATGATATGTTAGTTATTGAAATACCAATTAAAAATCCACAACTACAACAAAATATGTTAGAAAGTCAAAAACAATATCAAAATAGTGAAAAACACGTTAGTAGTCCGATTGGTGGACAACTTGTACCCTCATTTGATTTTGGAAGCTTTTATGGTGGTACATTTGGACCAAAAATAGTTGATGATACAACATCAAATACGGGAAAAAAACTTAATATGAATGTAGATATGAAAGGTGAGATTTCTCATTGTACTATTGATCATTAATTATTCTCTCTTATTCTATTCATAGGTTATAAACCAGAACAAATAAAAGTATCAGTAAAAGATAATGAATTAATTGTACAAGGTGAACAAGAATATGAAAGTAATAACCGTGCTGGACGTTCATATTTTTATAAACAAGTACGTATTCAGATTCATTTCTCCTTTTTCTTACATCAGTTTCTTTATTTTCTTACAGGTAACATTACCACCGGGTGTAATTACTGATCGATTACAAACACATTTGATGAATAATGGTCAGTTAACAATCGAAGCTCCATATGCTGAACCACGACAACCTCAAGCCATTGAATCAGCGAAAAAAACATGAAAAATATTAAACTATTGACGTTATTATTTGATGTCTCAATTTATTCAATTTTCCATTCTATGACAGAGACATTTGGCTGTAAGACTAACAAAAAAAATCTCGCTAAATAGCTGTTAGACATGATGCTTCATTTTATTATTGCTAAAAGTTTTTTTATATATTCGTGCACTTGACTACAGTAAATTTTAACGTCATCATTGAAAAGCTAAGAAATCATCCGTAGTTTATCTTTATCGAAAAGTTATTCTTGTATGTGACAAATTACAATTCACTTTACCAGGTAAATCAAAGTAAGTTTCAACCTTAGTTTATCTGATAAAGTAAAACAACAGTAACGCGAAAGCGTCATTTCATCGTTTGTACAAAGTACATACGTTGCAGAATAAAAGGAAATATAATAGACTTTTGCTAAGTTGTAAATGCTTGTAGCAAGATGCCTTAATATACAATGTATAACAAAATTGATCATACATCCCTCTCTAAAAGCTAATGAGTCATATTTCTCCAAAACAGAACTATCTACCAGGCTCGGAGTTTCAATAAAATGTTGCAAATTTATTGTAGTTTATTTGCTTAAAATAGAAGAGGCTTATGTCATACAGTCATTATGTTAGGGCACGAAAAGTAAAGTGCACAACTTTCTTTGTCCAAACAGAATTGATCATGCCGTTGAATTTTTTGCATAGTACATTTTGGTCTTATTTTGACAAAACAAGTGTATTTTGCGTAGTGTTTTTCGCTCTTTTGACGCATATGTACTTCGGAATTTTAAACTAAAGGGCGAAGAAAAAGGAAACGATATATAAAGTCATTTTTTTGGTGTTTTATTTTGTAATGCTTCTCATCAAAAATTCATATTTCCATTAGAAAAGACTTTTATGTTTTCCAAATGGTGCTCATTCGATTCTCAGCACAAAACTACAGAAGCGCTCACGTTTTTAAACCTTGAAAACATTTCCTTCTGGAAAAATGAATTTTTTATGACAAACATTACAAAAGAATACCGAAAAGAACTGAGAATGACTGTTTTTTATTTCGTTTTCTTTTTCTCCGCTCTTTGGTTTAAATTCTGAAGCACATATGCGTTAAAAAATTGAAAAACACTGCACAAGTTACGATTGTTTTACCAAATTAAAACCAAAGTCTACTATGTAAAAAATTAAAAAGTCAACTGCATGATCAATTCTGTTTAGACATGCATTTCACTCTTCGTGTCCTAACACAATGACTATATGACGTAAGCCATTTCTATTTTAAGCAAATAAAATACAATAATTTTGCAATATTTTAATGAAACTCGGAGTCTTGCTGATGGTTTTTCCGTTTTGGAGAAAAATTTGAACCATAAGGTTATATGGGGGATGTATGATCAATTTACACACTGTAAAGAAATAATAAAATAATAAAAGTCTGATATAAATTTGAATACTTGAACCTTGTATAGTTGTTTATCATCGTCATAAACCAAACGTTTCGAGATCAACAATATCTTCATCTGTAGAGTGAAAAAGATGATATAAAGTTAGAAGCACTGTTTCTTCTTAGTGGACATTAATAATCAAAATGTGAGTGAAATTGCGTTCGTATATCGCTCTATCACTCACAAACAATTAAAAGAAAGAAGGAGAGAAAAACGAGTAGAATAAGAAAAATTAGGAAAAGAGAAAAATGAGAAAACAGATAGTCTAAAATGGAACAGAAATCCTTTAGGAGTAAGGGAAAATAGTAGGAGATATAATTCGTCAGGTCAATTCCAAGAAATGATATTTTAATTTCAGCTCAAAACATTTTACTTTACGGATTTGTTTGTCATACTACCGATGAAGAAAGTCTATTGATCTCAAATCGTTTAGCAGCTGATAATGATAATAAATAATGATACGAGACTCAAGTAATTAATTTTATATCAGAATGAATTCCACAGCAAAAATTCTTTAAAGAAAATGAAATGATATGACTCAATCTTTTTAAATTTTTCATATGAGTATGATTAAATTGATATTGTGAATAATTTTGCCGGCTCAAATTGTTAAAGTATCCTATGTAGTCAAAATCGCCCAGTCAGTCATAGTCATTCCAAAAAATCACAGGAAACTCTGTTTACGAAACATTTTATGCGTTTAGCGAGTTTCGAATAATAACGCGCAAGAAGCTGCGAGTGTGTAAAAATTAACCACAGAAATCGCTGAACTAAAAGATAATCTGAAAAGAAGAACATTTCTCATTGAAATCGTGTTTCTTATATACTCACTCTATTACAGAATAAAATGGTGAATAAGAAAAAACCATTTAATGGCTACAGTTAATCGTAATTACAGGGTGGCCCATAAGTCCTGATACGATTTGTATAATAATTTTTCTAAAGTAAAACACATGTTTGTAAATTTCTCTCTATGATGAAAAGACGCAGTAAAACACGCTCTACAAA